TTGAGCTCTATCATGGACCGGTCCCGTCGGCGTTGAACCCACCGAGGCGCAATACGATTGATCACACCGCGACTCGAAATATGTTGGGTAATGGCCACCTGTCGCGGTCTTCCCGGTTCAACGGCACTTTCCAAAGTCTTGAGAAGCTGGCAGCGCCAAATTCGTCCCTGCAGTCGAATGGCGACACACTGACCTCGAATTCAGAGTCAGGATCTCGTCTTCAAAGCATATTTTCTCCGCAGTCCCCGATCGGCAATGGCGTTCATGACCTTCCGCGCGTTAGTGGTAAGTCAATGATCGACCAGGATCCGGACGAAGATACGGGTGAGCTACTCAAAGATCCCGTTGGCTACGCTGAGAACGGTCATTCTTCTTCGGTCGCCCTGCCTCGACGTTCGACGAATCCTCAGTATCCCACCAACCGATTCGGCAGCCTCTCTCTGTCCACCAACATGACCTCCCCGCCTCTGCACAATTATGCGCCTGGTGGCTCAGGGCGCATGGGGGTCCCGACGCCTTCCTCCGCCTTCCCTCAGACAATTAATGGTAACACTATGATGGGAGGTCATGGATACCCTTATGGTAGTCAGCATACTCCTCGTCATAGCCTTCCCGCGGCGAATCCGAACGACTTGAATCCTCCCTGCAATACCCTTTATGTGGGTAACCTTCCTCCGGACACGTCCGAAGAGGAGCTAAAGGCTCTCTTCTCCAAGCAACGCGGATACAAGCGCCTGTGTTTCCGGAACAAGCAAAACGGTCCCATGTGTTTCGTTGAATTCGACGAAGTAGCCATGGCTAGTAAAGCGCTCAATGAGCTTTATGGATACAAGCTCTCCAACAGTAACAAGACAGGGATTCGCTTGAGTTTCTCAAAGAACCCACTGGGTGTTCGCTCCGGTCAGCCGGGCAGCATGAACGCGTCCAATCACCTTTCTGCCCAAGGCTCGATCCCTGGTGGTAGCAGTCTCGGAGGCGTTCACAGTCATATGTTCTCGACGGTAAGCGGTCCTCCACCTGGGCTTGCTGCGCCGCCGGGACTGGCGATGCCAATGGCTTTGAGAAACAATGGGGCCATGCACCCGCCAGGAAATCCCCACGCACCTATGCCCGCCAACGGGTCGTTCAACTCAAACTCTGGTTTGGGAATCAGAGGAAATAACATGAATTCGTTGATGTCCCCGACTCCGCCCCTCACGGGAGGTGTTGGCGGCACTTCTACCGGATCAAACGTGGGAGGCTTCAATTCTTTCTATCCTGACTACATGATGGGTCGGTAGATGGGTCCTATTTCTACTCTGGAATTAATGTCCGACATGTTTGATGACAATTGAGGGTTTTCAAGTCTGGCGCATTGGGAGTCCTGGATTTTCATGAGCTAGATCAGCATTCGGAGGGCTCCCCTTACCTCCTGGGAGTAAGGACTACGGTATTCTGGCCTTAACTGCTTGTTTTTTTAAATCTCCCGTCCCGTTTTTTTTGTTCTTTGTTTTCATAGCATGGTATTGTGGGCGCTTTTCTGATGTCTTTCCGTTGGTGAGGCTGCACTTCTCTTCGGCTCTATGCTGTTTGTATTCAGATCCCGGCAAAGCTTTCGGGGAGTTGCATTTTCTCAGGTTCACCGTTTTTGTTACTCGAGTTACTTCACATACCCAGCCTCTTTTTGTTTCTGGTCTTTCTCGCACTCTCTTCTCCTGGGATTTTCTTTGCTGCCCCTTACTTGTAATTGTGCTCCTGTTTTCGCGATACCTCATTTCTCAGCCTCACCATGGGGGACAAACAGTGTCCAACTCGAGTGGCCTGATTCTAGTGGTCTTGTCCTGCGTTCATGATTCCCTCTTGCATCGGTTCTTCTTACGGCCATTCTTTTATCTTCGTGAGGACTGCCACTGCCTCGTCTAACGCGCGTGGAGCCTCTTGTGTTTGACTCTTTTCTTCTTGCCATGGAGGTCATACTACCCTTCTTTGCTCTGATATATGGTTGACTTGCAACTCGCCTCGATTCACAAATGGATGAAGGAAAGCTTGGGAAATTGAAAAACAAAAAGAAAGAAAGAATCAAAACAAGAAGGTGGGATTCGAGCGAGGAATTTCTGACTGCGTTGCTCGCCAGTCTGCGGCAAAAGCGCAGTATGATTTGCAGGATCATTATGGCTGGCTCCCGCAAGGATATATGGCCAAAAGATGAACCATTCGTGAGGCGTTGGCTTTACACGGTTGTACATCCATCAAGATACACTTCTGGGTTCTTTTATCTGTTCCTCAAGCTCTTTGGGGAGGCGTGATCGGTACTTATTATTGTCGTTGGTCCCTGGTTTGTAGCGAATTGCTCTATCGTGGCTATGATCAATTGCATGTTACTTTATTCTCCACGGCGTCACCTTTAATTTTCTTTGCTTCTCAAGCTCTGTTGGCTACAATGAGGCATGCCGAGGGACAGTGTACTGTTCGATCTTGCTTTCTGGCGGATTGCTTTCTTACTTACTTACTTGCTATGCTAAATGGAAAATTGAAGACGAGAGCTTTTATACTATGTCCTGTGCCACCTTTCCACATTCCGACCGAAGATTTAGAGGTAGTATATCACCCCGTGGGCTCAAGGAGGGCACGACAATGTTGGTTGGATCACGTGACATGCACGGACCACATCGTGAGAGCCGAAAAGTTTCTTTCCAAATGCCCGGCTGCCCTTCTTCCACTGTCACAAACACCGGGGCTGTACTTCACCGCTGCCTCTCACGGACGTTTTTAATTCTAGAGACGCTCAATTGCTCATGCTCAAGCTGTATAAGCCCATCACTGCGTGATCCCTGGCTTTGTCCTCGAGCAACAGTACTCCCCTCCACCCGAGACCTGATTGAAAATGCCTCCCCGAATACAAAACCAGCTGGTCTCGGGCTCTCTCCTCCCTTACCTCTCTTCCTCTACTTCCTCATCCTCATCAACCTCTTCCACATGTATCTCCAAGCTCTCACGATCGTGCCCCTCTCGTCCCCTTTCCTCCTCGCCCGCCGCTCAGACCAGACTGCGAAATGAGATGTTCGCGTGGATCAATGGCGAAGGTGCTGCACTGAAACAACACACGCCAGGGCGGACGAATTACATTACTCGCCTCAAGGGCAACGCCGGCAATCGGCCCTTTCCTCTGAACCCTAATTTCGTCAGTGAGCCCATACTCAGCGAGGAGCTGCGCAATGAGATTCACCGGCGAGTTGTGGACAGAAAGCAGAGTGTGCGTGCCGTCAGTGTTGACCTTGGGGTGGATATGCGGCGAGTAGCAGCCGTTGTTCGGTTAGTAGAATTAGAAAAGCGATGGAAACAACAGGTATGCATGCTTTCATTTTCTTTCTGCTCCGTTCCGGCTCTATCGGGTATTTCCCTTTTGCGATGGCATGGTACAATGATGAGAACAACAAAAAAATCGATTAGTCTTTAAGACCCCAAGCATAAACAGCTTGGGAATGCTTATAACTCCCATATCTGATTTGTGCCCATGTCTCGTTTTCGGTTGAAAATCTCGCGTCTCGGCAGCCTTGGATTGCTCTAACACGATGCTTGAAATTCAGGGAAAGTCGCTAGCATTGCCATACGCTCGTGCAGTCCACGAGATGGTCCCAGTCACAAACCTCCGCAATGACCTGGACGCTCGACCCCACGAGTCCATCAACGATCTCCCCGTCCACCGCCTCACCGATCCCCAGATCTTCTACCCCGTCTCCGAATCCAGGCAATTCACCCGCGTTGACGCCGGTCGCGTGTTCTCCGCCGCGCCCGCCCTGCCACACAGGGAAGTCGAGCGCGACGTGGCCTATCCCGACGAGGCAATCAGCAAGGTCACGCAGGACCCATCCCACATCGAGCGCGTCGGCAAGGGTGACAATGAGCAGCAGGTCCTCCAGCCCGCGGATGTGCGCATCCCGCACCCGCACCTGGTTGCCCACGAGCGCCAGATGCGATCGAACCCCCACGAGTTCCGCGAGAACATGAAGCTCTACCGCGAGCGGCTCCAGCAGGAGGAGAAGATCGAGCAGGAACGCAAGAGACTCGCCAAGGAGCGCGCCGAGCGGCGGCTTGTCCGCGTGCAGCCTGAATCCTCGCGGTTCGAGTTCCGCATCAAGGATGTCGTTGTTAGTCGCGAGGCGGTGGGCACGGATGGTCGTGGTGCCGGGGCTCCCGGTCGGAGATACGGTGTGCCTACGTATGACCGCAAGAAGGGGCAGGTCAAGATCCCTACTCGCGTGGAGGTCTAAACCGTTGATCCATATATGATGAGGGAAGGTCTCGTTCTGCTTCTGCGTTCATGAGCTGCTCTCGTTCAGGGAAGTGATGTACTGTACAAATATCTCGTGAAGGGTTTGTCGAGCATTAGCATTGTACTTATATTCAGCCATGTTTTAACAATGTCAATACCAACCCATGGGCTCCGAGCTCAACCCCCAAGGGTATATATGCGTACTTTCGAGTCAATCGGCCTTGCAAAACCAACTACTTTGGCTATAGCTGAATGATCAAGTGTAGTACTAGGTACAAACGTATGCAGCTAGTCTCATTAGTCAATCGCATTACCAATTGCCGGTATCAGCATGTCAATGCCAGTAGAGGACCTAGGCTAACTAATAACAACAGAGATGCAAATAACAATGCAGTGATGCATGGATTCACAAAACAACAAACACAGAGCAAGACATCTCCTTTCGTATGCGAGAGCATGTCGCTAAAGCAGTGATAGTATATACAATCGAGGATTCATGCCGCTCAACAAAGGAGATCTTTGTGATAAACACTGGGAATGGACGGACCAATAAGGTATGGGCATCACATATGACAGAAGGAGTAATGGCTATGCTGGGTATCCAATGGAAGATACAGAAAAGCGGAACGTGTAAGAGACTGAATGTAACAATAAGTAATATCAAACAGACGAACTCTCGTACAAATCGCGTGAGTATAATGGTATCAAAGGGAGACATTGAGGCCTGAGTTGCAGAGGGTGCAACTAACTACGTAGCACCCAGAGCTTGGTGCTCCTCATCGTTAGAAGGTTCAGTTGGGTCACCGACGTGCACGGAGGTAAGTGGACTGGCCGGTGAATCCAGAGTCTCGTTGCCCTCGCCACTACCACTTCCGGGAGGTTCCCCAGGAAGGATATCCACGGGCTTGGTCAATTCGGGAACGGTGGACTTGCGTTTGCCCGCACCAGGACCTGCGTCAAGCTCCCGGGCCGTCGCGTTGACTGCTCCAGATGACGAGGAGGTCGAGGTTCTGCTGGACACACCATTAGCGCCCGTCTGCAGAGGGCTGGTGAGACCTCCATCGGTGGGAGAAGATGATGGGGCTTCGTCGGCAAATCCTCGCCATTTCCGCCAGCCTTCAAAGTCAATCAGAGCTTGCATGCAGCCCCATTCAGTCACCTTCTGTTCCAACCAAGGAAATCCAACGGGCTAGAAAAAGGGAGAGAGTCAGCCACTAACCCGGAACAGGATGCGCGAAGGCGTCCAAAATGACATACCTTGGTCAAAAAGTCATTGCAGCCGGCAGCCAGAGCCTCATGCCGATCGCTCTGCAAACTACTGGCGGTCAGAGCGACAATGATAACCGGACTCTTGAACAGAGACAAGTCATGAAGAGTATCCTCCTCGGACAGCGAAACCTCAGATGATGATTGATTCACTTCCGCCGACACAGAGCTGGCACTCGATCGTCCCGAGGCAGTCTTGGTGAAGACACCGACCCCGTTCAGGCGCTCGAGTCTCCGAATCTCCTTGGTCGCATCTAACCCGTTCATGACGGGGAGTTGGATATCCATCAGGACCAAGTGAAACCCACCCTGGCGCCATTTCCTCACCGCCTCCTCACCGTTTGCAGCGCACTTCCAACGGACGCTGAGCCGCTTCATGAAAGCTTCCAGGAGCTTCTGGTTGATGATATTGTCTTCGACAATGAGGACGTTGATGGGAGGAACCGTGCCTTCAATAAGGCCGCCAAAGGCAGCGTTTGGCGATTGGCCGTTGCCGGCCTTCTTCGGTTTTGTGGGACGTGGGCGCGGTGAGGCAACACGCGCTGGCGGCGTGTGCGTTTTGGTCTGAGGCGATTCGGGAGGAGGACCAGGCGGTGTAGGGACCTGGGGCGCTGCTGCGGGAGGTTGAGGACCTGAGGCCATACTCGAGTCTACATCTAGTCAGTAAGAAACGATATCTAAACGGTCCAAAGAAGAACAGTAAGGGTCCACGCGTACCTTTTGCATTTGGCGCTGTACCAAGCATTGTGGGTGAGTTGGTAGTATGTCGAGTGAGCGGCGGCCGGCGGGAATGTCGGGTTGCTCTATTGCCTGGTGAGGGTAGCGGAGGCGCCATACCAGTGGTGAGAATAGAGATTGAGGGTGCCGTATGGGCGTTCACGCTCGTAGATGAGGCCGACGGATGAGCGGGGGGCGTCGGGACATTTGGGTTCGCAGGCATGAGCGGAAAGTACTCGCCATGCTCGCCCGGTTCCGAATGGTGATAATATACAGGGTGGCGGGGGGACGGCTTCGGCGTTCGCCGTTGAGGGATATCTATGACCAACGCTTCGTCCACCGTCTGACCCCCAGGAAAGTAAGTGTCAATGATCACACCTAACGGTTCCTCCGGACTCAGTATCCGCTCGGGCGTAGACTGTCGGTTGGAGCCTTCTCGAGGAGAAATGCGGATCATGATATCAGGCGAATCAAATGTTTTCCCCAAAGAGTTGGCGTACTTCATGATAACTTGATCGCGCAGCTCGTCGACAAGCGAATCTTCCATGGTCGGTACCAGGGTGGCCGAGCCCCCTGGCCGTTTGACCCAGATTTTTCGAGGAATCATGTCAGCGTTGACTGTGGCAGGGTGACCGCTGCTCTGGCCTAGGTTCTGGGAAGGCCCAAACCCCAAAAGACCACTGATCAAGTGTTGATGTGAAGCTGGAAGAAGCGACTGACGGCGGACCCCAATGGTGGGGCGCTTCGGAAACGGGGACGACGACGGAGGACCGACGAAATGGGAGACAGATTCTTCAGAAGAGTCCTCGGCGACAGCACCCAAGGACGGAGTCAATTGAGATTCGAGTGGTGGCACGCCGGAACTTTCTCGGACTGGTCCGTAAGCTGCTTGACGCGAGCTTGCGCCAGCGGGCCGTGGCAGCGAAGCCGAAAGTGGAGGAGGGGTCGCCGACGCTGAATGTAGCGAGTCGTCGCCAACGGGAGTCTGTGGTGGAGAGGGCTTATTGGCAAGCTCTGCGGTCAAGCTGTACTGAGGATCGGAGTCGTTCCGGATACGTTCGTAGCCGTACTCGCCTTCTTGACCTCCCTCTGGCGATTGTGACTCCCCTTTGTCTTTTCCCTCGGTCGGCTGCTTGTGCCGAAGGCTCCTCACGAATGTCGGAGACTGCTGAATCGAACTGTTCTGTGAGCCTTCTTGATGTGAGTTTGCGCCCGATCGGTCGAAGTGGGTGAAGTACTGATCGCAGCCCGCTGAGGAACCAGTGGCAGGACCAGGAATCTCGCCGGGGGTACTGAGATGATCGAGGGGTATGGAGGAAACTATGCTGTAGGCGCGGGATTTGGCATCCCCTTCTCCTTCGTTAGGGGTCAAGAGATGAGGAGGTAGGGAACAGGAAAGGTCGGAGGCTGAGTTGGGGTCGACAGGCGGATCCGCTCCGGCGGCCGCCTTTTTCTGAAAGTTAACGGGTTTCTGGTTCTGTTTTGGATAGGTTGTAGCCGTGGTCGATGATCGCCGCAGAAGCTTCGACTTGAGCAGCTGCGACAGGCGGCGCTCAGGCATGATGACGATCCACCACAGTGATGTCTGATAGCTCAGCTATCAAATATTATTGCACTGAAAGAGAGATAAAATAATGACAGACAGGTAGAAAGAAAGCAAATGGGGAGACAACCGAGAGAGAAAGTCTAGAAAACAGACGACAACAAGGAAAAGGAAAAACAAAAGAGAAGAAACGAAAAGAACACTGCGTTGTCACCTCATTCTCTGCAGTCGTACAATAATATTGTCTTCTATCGAAGCAGCAGCAGTAGCAGCAGCTCAGGGGTCTGCAAGGCAGTTGGAGGAAGGAGCTCTGAAGAGCGACAGGAAGCTTTTTTTTTTTCTTCTTTTCTTTCTTTTTTTTCAGCTCTTCATATTCGGTCAGTGGAACCGACCACCTCAGGAGCTGAGAGGCTTGGAGAACTGTGGTCGGGATGAGGGGAAAGGAGATGGTTGGAGAGGCAGAAGAAGTAAATAAAAAGGGAGCTTGGGGACTGAAGCTCGTGTATAGAGTACTACTAGAACGTACAGATGCAAGCAGACAAGCAAGCGACTCAATCCTTGCTGAGGATGATCTTCCGGAAGAAACAGGAAAGCTGGAGAATCAAAAAGACACAAACCAGTAGATATGATCTATCTAGCTTGTATGACTCTAATTCACCTGAACAAGGATCCAGTGATATGACAGCTGGAAAATAGGATCACGGACAGGAGGAGAGCGCGCTTGGACCATATCCTATCCAACGGTTTACAGTTACCAAATGTAACAAAGAAAAACATCACGGCACTAGTTGATTTGATGAGCAATTTAACTGTGCTCTTTAACCACCGTCGATCTTACCTGAATACCTAGGGTAGCTTCTAACAGGTAGGTAGCTTGACACCTACTGGGTGACATCGACTTGAACCTCGGTCTGGATAATTTTGTTTCTTGATGCCCATTGAAGTTCTCGATGGAGTGTATTTGGGCAATTTCCAATGTTCTTTTATTCTCTCTATTTTCTATAGCCAACTAGATGACGCTCCTGAACCCACTTCCACTCAGTTATGCGTTCTCATTCAATTCAGGCTGCTCTACAACTTTGACTGAACCTCGCCGGTGATCCACCGCAATCTGACTCTCAACATCGCCAGGCCTCTTCTCAGTATCATTCACCTGCTCAGACTCACTCCTGTGCATACTTAACATCTCGTCAATGCTAACACCAGCAGCTTTGGCTTCTTTTCGCAATTTCCGGTATCGAATGCGCCAAACGATATGGCTCACGTAGATGCCGGCTTCCAGGACGACCCTATCGCATCACGGTTACTACCGATCCATAACAGCCAATGCACTTAAACGGGTGCAAACTTACACTAGGATGTACATAACTCCTCCGAGGATATCAAATGTGCCCTGCGCGGCTTCGAGCAGTCAGCTTTCATCCTCCGCCTTGGACAAGTAAGCGGCATACCTAATGCAAAAAGAGAAAAGAGTCCTCCCAAAGTATCAATGGACAAAAAGATCCAATCTGCGAGGGACCAATCAAAGCGTGTCCACCCCGAAAGCTTTTGAACCACTTACTAAAACCAATCACTCGCCCGTCTCGCTTCCATAGTTCAAAATACGGCGGTAGAAGCCCCGACGCCAGCAGAATAGCCGCAACGACGCCAACGACAAGATCAGGCCAGGTCACACCTTTATTGTAGGGTATCTACGCGACGATAAGTATCCATTCCAGCGAAGGAGCCTTAACAGGTGCATTACGCAGACGTACTCGCAATGTGAGAATCAGCAACGCCTCAATACCACCGAACAGCGCTGCTGTGCCAATTACCAAGGAGATTGCCTTGGCTTGGCTATAGTTGCTAAGAGACAATGTCAGCCCTGAACCATATCTAAAGGTGAAAGGCGTTACCTACTGATTATAATATAAAACCTGACCCCAGCTGACTAGCGAAAAGAAACCGAATATCTGCGGCTGTATTTGCAGCGGTATATTCACTTTCTGCAAGATGAAAGTCAACATTTCTAGTCCCTCTCGACCATGGAATCACTTGTACCTGGAGAATCAAGTATGCTCCCATGGGCACAGCGCCTATATTCAAAGGATCAGCTATCGAGCTCCGGAACAACCCAGAGGACCCAAGTGCAAACATACAAGAAGCCCATAGGAACATCATAGACGGTGGCAGTCCGTCCGTCTTCTTCTGTCGCCAATTATACCATATTTGCGGAATCAGCTGAATGCACCAGAGAACCGTTCCGATGGTCCCTAGTACATTGGACGCCACCGTGACATTCTCGGTATCAGCCATACTTGTATAGAGTCGGGGTTCAGTGACTATAAACCTCCACTCCAACACTGGGAGGATAGTTTCAAAACAATAAAAACGTGGACCAGGGGATTATATGTCTCAGACAACGGTCATTCTTCCAGAGAAAACAAAATAAAAATTTGTGCGAATCTGTCCAGCCTTGCAGTAAAAGGACAAATCCAGTGTCGATGTCAACGCAGGTCTATGCACAACACAGCAAGCATCACCATGCCCTGTGCCAGATAGCTACGTGTTTCGTTCAGTTCTGCACCAGAAGCTTGGTTGAAGACAAGAAAATCCCTTCTGCTCTGCAGAGATAAGCAGACAAGCTCAGGAAACCAAGGCCGTACAGGACTTCAAGCATTTTGATGAGTTTCTAACTTTCTTGATAACAGTTAAGAATCGAGATCTTCCCAATGCAGTCTCCACGACTGCACACCAGACAGAGCAGGATCCATTTGCGTGGCAGCAAGTGTGGTTCTGGCTCGCGGGAAAGTCATCTCATTGGGGGATCCAACAATAGAGAACTGGAGATTGGTCTAGGGAACTAAGACTAGACAGGTAAACCACTGGAGAAGAAGACACCATCCCGCAGCCTAGGGAGCTAGGCTGTGTGCCTTGACCTTGCAAGTCCGACTCCTGACTCTGCGTTGTGAGCGAATTCAGTGGACGCTGAAGAGGGGACTTAGTCAGGTCTTTCCTGAGTGGACGGGGGTGCCTCGACCTAGATACGCCCAACAATACAAGAGACGCATAGATAGAAGCGTTCTACGACTTCATTTGGAGGAACAATCTGGTCGACATCTATTCCTACTTGCTCTTGATCCTCTGAAGCCGTGAAAGTTTCGAGCTCCTACATCACATTGAACGAAAAATATGTGAAATTCTCCGATGCTGGACGCAACGTCCCGCGCACGTGGCACCTCCTGAACACGTTGAAGTACTCGACATTTGGACTGGAATGCGATCTTGAATTTATCGGACATAATCACATTAAAAATGATATAACTCGAGTGGCTATATATTGGTTCTCCACTACAAACGAATAATTTCGACATTTCTCTAACAGCAGGTGGAAATCCGAAAGAAATAAAAAACCAACTACACATCGAACCGTTGGAAACACATCCGAGGCATGACAAATGGAAGACAACCATGAATGGTAAGCGCGCAGATGCCCGCTGAAGGAGATAGAAAGCAGACTGAACGAACGCACCACTTAGAACGGGATGCCACAAATAAAGCAGAATCCAAAAGAAACCATCAGACATAACATGATCTTTTCGCGGAACCAGATCTCGGGCCGAGTGATACTACTCGAAGGGTATCAAATACGAAAGCTTTTCGCGACAGAAAGGCGACAAAAGTAGGAATGACCAGAAGAACAAGAAAGGGAAAAAAGTGCGCTCCAACCGAATCACAGCAGAATCAGGTAATTCGATGGAGCAATACCGGTCTCTCCGTTGGATTTTCTGGCCTGCCACCATCTGCCGCTGACATCCGACACTTCCAAGATTTCATGTTTGCTGAAACTAATTTCGTTGGCATCTTCAGGATTGGCATCGTAGGAATATATCGCTTTTGCCTTGTACGGGTATTCTGTTGGCTGTGGGACTTCGTCCTGACCGTTGTTGTTCCCAGCAACGTTGCTGGCAGATGGGTTGCCGAAACGAGGCTGGGAGGAGCTGCGGTTTTCTGAGCCGGGAGCACCACCAGGATAACCTGACACCGGAGACGACGTTTCGAAGCCGTTGAGTTGGGCGGAAGTGTACATCTGGGGTGCGCTTGTCGACATTGTCTCTGGGCGATGACCAAAAGCTGTAGACATGGGTCGATTTCCGTACGCGCCGCTGCTTTCCTTGTTGAGGGCGAACGAATCGATAAAGCCGCGATGCGTAGCTTGAGGAGTCGATCCAAAGTAGAATATCCACACGACCTGTTTATGATTAGTTCACAGTACGAGAGAATGCTGCGACCGCTAGAAAGTCAAGCAGGAATAACCTACAATGACCATGGACAAGAGGATGAATCCGGCAGCTGCAGCTTGCGACGAGGATTCGCTTTCGTAGACCAGAGTATTGACCGCCAAAGTGGTCAGCACTAAGCCTGTTGATAGATAGCCCACAACCTGTTATACATCAGCGCCGAGAATCCCACGCCGACTGTCGAGAAACATACCGCTACCCCATAGACGAGACCGGTGTCCGAACCAACAACAATTGTGACCCCGATAATACAACAAAACATGTAGGCGACTGCCCACCATGAGTAATTGGGATAATTTGTCTTAATATCCGAGATGATTGATGCGATAAAGGCGATCAACCACGCAAGCTAAAGATCGAGAACGTGATTAGTCACGAGTCACCAGTGTCCACGTTAATAATCCGCATTAGGGACGACGTACAATCGAGATGGAGATGGTCGCGAGCGCAAATGGGTCGCCTAAAATATTGCTTGCCCGAAACTTCGCCATTCTTCTCCGGGGCTCCGTATATGTATTCGGTTTATGAAAGGACGGAGAATGCTCAGAATATGCCAGCATGAACGGTATTCGCTATATACAGTGTCGTCGAAGCGATTGGATGTGGAGGGTTCGATTTTTGTTCAATTCGACTCGATCGTGATGCAACAGCTATCACAAGAGACAAGGCAAAAGCAGGCCGATATTCTAACAAGTTATTTCTTTCGTGAAGTCGAGATGGTATAGATCGATATCGATTGAAATTGTTTGTTGATTTAGGTGAAGAGAAGGACTTGAATGCAGTAAAGAATGACACTGGGCAAAGAGTCAGTCACAACTCGCAACGCAAATGGAAATGCAAATGCGCATAAGGAAAAGAACATATAGGTACAATTGAGAGTCGACTACAGAACATCGTAATGAACGCAGTAGGAATCGGGTCATGACAAGGGAGAGAGGAAATGAAGATGAGGTGACGTGTAATCGTACCTTGCGACACGATCCAGGTAGAAGCGAGTGTATGTCTTACGATGACGAAAACTGGTGCAGATGTCGGCGTGAGAGGATTGACCGAGAATCAAATCGATAATTAGAGATCAATCGAATCTAGCATGAGGCTGGTGGTATGAAACTGAAAGCAAGCAAGAACCCCTTGCAGAGACGCGGAGAGACAACAACAGCACCGGGCTGTAGGGAACGAAGGTGGTGTTTGAAACGTTAGTGGGAAGAAAGGAAGAAAAATCGAAAGATAATAGAAGAATCAAGGTGAGGAACGAGTGTAAATCGACGGGTGTAACCAATCGATGAGGAGGTCGAAGAAGAAGAAAGAGGTGGAAACAAAGAAACAAGGACAGTACGAAGTGAGAAAAGATTGGTTAACACTAGTACTTCTCTAAGAATGATAGAATAAGAAGATGTTAATGATGAAGATGGAGATTAACGGATGAAAGACAGAGCCTTGACCCAGTGTCCGGTCGGGAAAAGGAGAGTTGATCAGTGAGTCGACTAGTCTATCTACGGTAGTACATTCTCCGGCGTGGGAACCAAGTGGGTGAGACTTATGTAGATATCTCAGGTCAACACGAGAGAACGACGTAGAATAACTGACCAACTACTTTGTCTTTATGGGACCTACATAAACCATACGAGCCCTGGTAGTCTTCCAAGACAGCTACGGAGTTCATCGGGTGAGATTAAGACATAAGAGACTACCGGCTACCCTTACAGAGTACCTACTTTTGGATCGTACTACCCGTGCAGTCGCAATACTTAGGTATGTACAAGAACTAAAGGGCAGCCCTGCATGGAGTATCATCTCTAGGAACCATGCTGGTTGTGGGCCATGCCAATGCATTCCGCAAGGCAAACAGACCCCTCATACTCTTGAAAGTTGAGAATTGATTCTGGTCTCAATGGTCTGGTCCTTTTTCTCTTTCATCTACCTCTCGGTACGGAATACAGGATTATTAGTATCATTTCACCCCTGGCAGGTCCGACGACCAAGGAGGACGAGAGGACATGATTGGAAGATGGGCGAATTGACGGAGCACCAAGAGGGGCAGCTGGGGTAGGTGGAATAAGTGGATGTAACAACAGTGACCAATGCTCATTGTTTCTGTAGTTATTATTAGCGCACGTTCGGCAATGATCCCTTTGTTATTTCCTCTTGTCATTGCGACGTTGTGGTTATCCTTGTATGCTAATTTAATTTATTTAATTTATTTTTTTTTTTTCAGGATTCTTCACACCAGCAATGCATATATGGAGTAGCTCTGCGACGTCCAAGCTACAGTCAACAGACTCGCAGATCAAATATGAAACCAACAATGTTGAGCCGGAACCATGGGCCCAGTAATGAATCAAAATGAGATCTTGGAATTTGGAAATTTAGGAGTGCGCCAAAATCGCACCATGCACAATAATAATGGGTCCTATTTTAGCGACCGAGCTACGCAAAAAGTTTCAAAGCGCAAAAGAAAGAAACGAGTACAAGAACCATTCCAGTTTCAGCCTCAGCAGTTGTATTTTTGCGCAACTAATTTGCATGTGCACTGAAGGTTCTAGACCTTGCGTGTGGCACAGTGGTATCCATCGAGTGGCTTGACACAGGAGCAGCGAAATAAGGATTAGCATCCGTTAATCTACGAAACGTACGCACTGCGAATGGACTTAATCTTCCCTAGATCCATATTAATTTCGAGGAAATTTGACTCTTGACATTAGATATCATCATGGTGGGTCAAACCACCCGAGATTTTAGCATGATCGTCGTCTTCCATACTGCAAGTTCTAGATCCTACAAGGGAACTCTGTGCACTAACTGGGTGCAGGACAATCCGGACAGCACGGCTCGTTGATTCAGCTCCGAGGCTCGCTGTGAAGTTGTGCTTGTTGATACTCGCAGGCGAGTTGAATGCGAAACCCAGCGATAGATCGCCTGGAGAGCTTTTCAGCGAAACTGTCAGCAACCTTGTGCGTTGGCTATCGAACGCGACCACTGATATATCATCTCACTTTGGGCGATCCATCCCAAGCCTTCGTTCTTCGATCTTTTGCTTGACAGGCATAAGCGTATCCGAGTTCTTTCCGGACCTTGCGAAAACAAGCTTTCGAATGCTGATATTCGACATTCGGGAAAGAGCGACCAACTGTCGTAGACTGGGAGCACCAGCGGGAAAAAGGACGAAAAGCGGTGATCCCTGCGAGCCATCCGGCTTGAACTTTTCGTGAAACATCTGTTTTCCCTGAAAAAGCATTTGTTTGAATGTACGCTTGTATATCGCTCGGGTGATTTTCTCGATCGGAGGCGACAGTCGGGTTATGTCAGCCAGTGATTCCGAGGGTTCAAATCCAAGGCTGAGGTACGAAACTCTCATTGAGTGCAAGAGCGCCATGGCAGCAACGATTAACAGATCGGTGATCCCTCTGGGCGCTCCAGGAGCTGCAATGCAAGGGTCAATGTGGTATCCTTGGTTGGCACCAAGATGTCGGATGGCCGCGAAGCCGTTGGCTACACCATCTGGGCCTCTGGTGTAGATATACATCATCAGGGCCGGCATTGAAAAAGGGTCATACACCGTGATGAAAGCCTTTGCGCCGGGAGCACAATTTCGCTTCTCACGCCATGAGTCATAAACCCTGACCAGTTCCCTCTGCACATCCAGATCCTCACCCTGCGCCGGTACGTATAAACCCAACGAGATGTTGCCTTTGCTCGGATTGAGCAGTTGCTTGCTTTGTACGATGATGCGTTTCCCCGCTCTCTCGTTCAATACATCATTGGTCATGGGATTGAGCACGCGCTCGGCGCCGAATTGGATGGTCGTCCATCCATGTTTTTTAGCGTATTCGGTAAACACTTCGCTGGCACCGATGAATGCGATACTCCAGCCGGGTCTCCTCCGGTACTCCTTGAATTCTGCGAGGACATTGGCGAACCAGTCCGGCTCGCATAGGGGATCACCCATGACCAGCGCAACTTTGTTATGCACTTTGAACGACAGAGCAGCAGTGCGCGCTCTATTCACGAAGAATTTGTACCTAGGGTCGAGAACACTCATATGGGAGACCCGCCCGTACCTTGTCGCTAATTTCTCGATGGCACGAACAGCTGCGAGATCTTCAAGTGTGAATATGGCTGCAGACGCCTGACGTGTGCTTTGCGAAGTCGGTCTTGATATAGGTTGTTTGCTGGGGGAGGATACAGAGTGCCGCCTGCCGGGCAGCTTGGCGCTTTTTATCTGTGGCACACATTCTTCACCCTGGACAGCATCATGGAGAGTGTAGCTGCTACCGCTACTGATGCTACCAGATGAAATATCCACAGTATTTGTCGGATGATCAAGCTGACGGCTCAGGATTTCACCGATCTCATCCACCAGGAGGGTTTTCTTCGTGGCCGCGGGCTTCTGTGTACAACGCTTGCATCGCTTCTCACCCGTCTCCTTTTTCGGCATGGAATAAAGCTGAGAAATTGACTGCTCTACAAATAGCAAAACCAGGATCAGGGCTTCGTTGAAATCCGAGGTGTAATTCACAACCGGTAACTGACGTATATGACACTCTTAGGATGGCGGGCGCGAATCAATCCTTATATGACCATACTCCATTCTGAGGCGCGACACGCGGGGTATGATAGGCAGTCGATTACTCCGGATATGGATTGGGCTATGGGAGTAGTAAGCTTCGTGGCAACTGGTCCGTCTGTGGAGTTCCTATGGTAGACTGTAAACGGCTCAAAGCTTGAGACCCTGGGTACGTGAATTGATGTCCGCACACTTGGAAGTCCTACTCTAGTGAGGCAGTGTAACCGCCACGGTGGCCAACTGCAGACATCTGAAGTGCGACTGGGAGATGCGGATGTTCTCTACTGTGCTTCATAACTCTCAGATATATAAGAGGGAAAGGTCAAGCATCAAGCCGAGCAAAGGCCGTTGAGGGATCGTCAAGAGGACTGTGGATTTTGGACCCTGAGCGAACGGGCAATCAAGGTACGGCCAAGCATCTCTGCCATCTTGTTGGGCTCCTTGGCAATTGCTAGGTAGTTACTGCATATGACACTGCTGCAATTGTTCTTCAAGGATCATGGCCCTGCTTCTTCAGATAGTACCTGTGACTACCCGGACTTGGATTCACTCTGACCTAGACCGTTCGTCAGGTTGCAGCAGTACATGAGTTGTTCTATGACGTGCGCCAAGCCCGTCCAAAACCATGGATGTGGGCATACGTAACAGACGGAAAAGAGCGACCCTGACATGGAGGGTAGGAAATAATGCTGTTTTCGGCAAGAGGCTTTGGCCCTTGTTCTCCAGGCTTGCACTGGTGACATTCATTATTTTCCTGCCTGCATTCATCGACACGTCATAGCCGGCTTCTTATCAAAACCGTGGGATAGAAGAAACTCAAAGCTCTCTTACTGACTACACCGCAAAACGTACCGCAGCGAGCAAGACTGAAAGTAATAGGCCAGTTAGCTCAAACCTTCAGACTTTTTGAAGACTTTTAACGGTTGACAGGGGCATTCAGCCTCGCTCCCTTTACCAAGGACAGCCACTTTTCATTCCCTCATCTCTCGAAGAGATCTGGCTGTCTATTCTGAGCGAACATGTCAGTGTGTCTGTGTCGCAGTATTAGTAAATATGATGGACCAACAGAAGAATGTAAAACGTTCAACTGACGGCCTGAATCTATCCACATGAGCTCCGGATTCAACTTGTAGAAACCAACCAGCCTAAAACACAAAAACGTCCAACCAGCAGACAACAGAATGGTATCATAGAAAGTCAAAACTCAAGCCGCAAAAGAAACAATACACACAATCGGCCTCATATCTCTCTCGCCCTTCTCTCCCTCACCACCTCCTCCCTCTTCACCTCCCGCTCTACATCCTCCAGCCGTCCCTCCCATTCAGCCCAGCACTCGCCGCTTCCCACCAGCCCAACTTCATACCAGCGCTGCAACACCCGCGCAGTGCGCACGCGGAGCTCAGATATCTGCCGCCCCTGTTCCTCCTGGGTACGAGCCAATTGATCGAGACGCGGCTGCAGTTGGACGAGAGACGCCGACGCCTGGGCATCCGGGACAGGCAGGTCATTTAACGAAGTGAGTCTGGACGCGGTCTCGGGGAATGCGGACGCGTACGAAAGGACAATCGAGGCGAGGTTCTGGGTCGTCAGGTTCTCCGGAACCGATTGCGGAGGTGTCGGGCGGAAGAGGTCGGGGAAGCGATCGTCTGATCCGGTCCTGTTAGTTTGGTTCATCTTAAAGATAGAGAGGAGGAATGCTTACGGAGCTGTAGAACATCTCGTACAGCGGGGATATTCCTGCTGAGGTTCTCGAGATCCTTTTCTAGACGTAGGAGGCGCCGCGAGACCGTATCGTCGAGGGAGGCTGGTTTGGAGGGCGCGGTGGGAGTGCCGGTCCAGCTTGCATCGCCTGTGAGGAGGTAGGTGAGTCGTTGGAGGCGAGCTTCGAGAAGCTCAATTGTAGCTCCGGCTACCGCGTCATTTTCAAGAGCCATTCTATAGGAAGCAGGTGACAATTGATGGTTGGGTTATGTGTTTTGATCTTGGAGCTAATGCTCTGGTGATGGTGGAGAATGGGTATGATGATGCAAACAAAGCATACAAGCGAGACTCCCACTGTTTATCTGCCTTTGCTGCCAAACACTATCTATCGAACTCATGAATGTTTATGACCTTTCGGCGTTTGTGGTTTAATGTACTGTTATTAATCGACAGGGAGTAAACAAGGCAACGCCAAACTAAACATTGAAACGTCTTCCTAGAAATTGCAGAGCTCCTTCATTGCGCATAGATAGCAGCAGGTATCGAGCGCAGCCCCTTCGCGTCAAGTCGACTGACTATAGACTTACAGAACTTGATATACACCTCCTGACCCCTCCCACACTCTCTGAATGAGTCATAAGCCACTTTAAGAGGAAAAACAGTGGAAGCCGGTCCGAAGAATTTCAGTTCATCCTGCAGCAGGTACTCCATACTGTGGCAGATCCGCTTCGAGCGAGTAAGAACTAGGTTCTGCCGATATTCCACACTGCAGAACTTTGCGGGTATACAAGATTCAACAATGCTGCTAAATCTCACCCTGAGTTTGTCAATCTCCTTGAGACAAACAATGCGAATAGCCCAGAGGTGGGTGCACACATTCGCTATGTTAACGCTCGGATACCAGAGAGTGTGGCCTGTAATGCCAGGATTAATCGCCTGTGCTGCGTGTTCTCCTTTGGCCGATATCTCGTATGGAGCCCCTTCTTCGCGCTCCAACATTTGCTCCCATTGCTCAAGTCGATTGATCCACTCCACGAAAGCGAAACAAACTTCGGTGACAATGTCAGCTGAGCCGTCGCCTGGGTTGGCCATGAGTTGGTCAACCGCGTGCAAGTAATTCGGGATAATTGCGACTTCACTCAAGAAGTCCTGCATGAGCGACGTGTTAGAAAATGCAAAGGGTATAGATACCCATTGCTGCTCAGCAAGAAAGGTTGGCTCGCGAAAGCGAAATGCGTCGATGACCTTAACATGCGTCAGACATCTGATAGACTCTATCTACACATTAACCGTGAATCATACTAACGAGGAGAGGTCGGAACCCCACGAAGAGCTTGTGCAGCAACCCGGCCTGGTAATGATTAGGTCCATGGGCTTTCATCAATTGACCCACACCTTTGATGTGGGTTGAGATTCCCGGTCCCATTCCCGGAAACATGCACTATATATGAATATTTCCTGATTAGCATCGCTCCGGTACCCTTCTGAAATAAAAGATCCTCACCTCAGCTAAGCTCAGACACATGATAGAGGCGGCTATTTCTGCATTGAATGGCTGGCTTACGGCCGCCAACTGCCTTCGCAATGCACAAATCGCTGCAGAATAAACCGTTGTAGCGTCCAGATTCGAGACGTTGTGAGGATATTTGCAGGAAGCAATGGCAAAAGCCAGAGCTTTCAGCGAGAGGAAGAAAACGCTTTCCTGACTCGAGGTATTGGCAAGACGCGGGAGAACCTCAACCCAGGAGCCGCAGAGCCGTGAGCAGCCATTTCTATTCGAATCATAAGACAGAAAAGGAAGGTCATCTTTTGGGATGTAGTTTTCGACCACAAGAAAGGCCAGCTCTTCTGGTGAAGCCGAAATGATACCCGGAATCTTTATAGTAGCGAAACTATGCTGAGCAGTGGCGTCATGCGAAATCTGCTGCGGAGGGGTACTCTTGACAGATTCCTGGCGCGAATGTGACCCGCCAGTAGCTCCATTCTGCGAGATCTGATTTTGATGCGATGCCTTAGTTGAAGGTATGCTCTGCTGGACGAACGTCCACTCCTGCGGGTAACCTGGACACTTGCGCCCCGTAAGTGTGCATTGGCTGCATTCCGGGTGCTTCCCATCGCACTAAAAGATAAAGAGCTATAGTATCGGCTTGAATCCATTAAGAGATCATGCGAATCTTACCCCTAATTTCCTCTGTCTACAGTTTCCGCATACTGACTTCTGCTTGACTTTCATGACGTTATCCACCCGTCGAGGACATTACTAGGCCAGATAAAGTTCTGTCGACCAGTAACCAACACTTTTAGTCAATAGAATGTAGTCGGAATCCCACATGGCACTCCGCATGAAAGGCATGCATGAGCTGATGGATGCCCAGTTGGCACCCACTAACCGTATTTGGTTAACGGTGTTTGTCAATTGACTTGACTCAAGCTACAGAATGCACGATATCATCACGACAGTCTTTTTTGAATTTCGGAAGAAAGAGCGCATAGCCCCCGAGCGTCTTCTCGTGCAAAGCTTGCATCTATTTAAAAGGGTGCGGCGCTTGTGCGAGGCTCTTCCGGGAAATTGCTACTATAATCTGTATAAACACCAGCGCCTGCGGCATACTCGGTGACTTCATGTACACCCAGAGCACCAGAGCATCATTCTATTTCCACATGAACCTTCGAGCGTCGACACCCGCTTCCTTCTGCTACCAGACCAAGTAAGACATGGCCCCTGCAAACTTCACAAGTTCTCTAAATATCACCTTCGTCGGACCGCAACGGCCATCATCGACATCGATGGCATAACCTTGCTCACAGACCCTATCTTTACCCTAGAAGGACGGAATGGGACACAAGAATCGCCCTGCTCAAGAACACTGAGTCCCACGGCTTAGTCTTAAGAGGAGCTTCCGCCGATCGACGCCATCCAGCTCACCCACGAGGACCGCCCAGATAACCTCGAGGAGTTGGGCCAACGCGTTCTCATGGCCACAAAAGTCTTGACCATAGTTAACGATGCGGAAAATCTGGCGAGTCGCCCTGGTGTCTCAAGGGCATGGGGCCTTTGGAAATCACCACGCTAACCTCGGGAAGAAAGGTATTTTTGCTTTCGCTGTTGTGCCGCTGCCGACCAGGCCACAGCCCATAACTATGGACGGTGCGTCTAGTGCCGGGCTGCTGCAGGCACTGAAATTTGATGTCCTTGTTCCAATGAACTTGTCTAGGCGGCGTTTGCCCAAGTTGGAAAGGAACTTGCGCAGGCCTTTGAAGCTGCAGGTGTGCAGCATAAGGTCCGTTGGTTGACTCCGGGCCAAAAAAGAGATTCGTAGGACTGTCATTTCCATGTGCACACCACTTTGACTGAACATAACACTGTGTTGTAACAATACCATGGATTGACTCCTAAATTTCTCGACCAAGTAGATCTGTTTCATCAGTCATAATTCGTCAAAGTTGACAATAGACTATCGCATGCAGAGTAACCCTCTCCTTCTAGGCGTGTTCTTTAATCGTTCAACCACTTGCTCTCATCTATGTTGAATCCATAGTTCGGGATGGTTGCACAGCCCCAGGTGCGCTCAGTATACCCGGTCTGCCCCTTTCCTGCATCTCCTGCCCAGATTCCATCTCATCATCGAAAGACGGGATCTCATAGTCAAATACATTCACCTTTCTACTGGCTGACGGATCGGAAGTCGCCGGTTGGTGGTCTTGTCCCTCGAGTCGAGACGGAGACTCGCCTTCGCCAGAGGCAGTGTTTGCATTTGGAATTTGCCCCTCCATGGGATCTCCAGCGGCTGCTTCATCAAATTCCGCTTCGAATGCCTGATTATCCGCATCCACAAATGCCTACACTTTGGTCAGCCGAAGATTCCACACACCATCGTTGAGGTTGCCTTACTTGAAGTTCGGCCGGCAGCGGATTAGCCTGAATGCTCATCGCGTTAGAATTGGCATAGACGAGGAGGACATTTTTGGACTCTTCGCGAGCAGCATGAAGCACTTCAATTTCTCGAACTTTGCGCGCAGTATACCCGACGACATCGGCAGTGCTTGCTGCCGCCTTCCTCTCTGCCTGTCGGGCCTTTGCATCGTCAGTAGAGAAGCTTATTCGCCACCATTGCCACTGATCGCCTGCGCTAGGCTGTAAATCTGACGCTTGCTCAGAGTTGTGGGATGTGACGGGTTTGAGGACATAAGTTATATGTGGCTCAGTACACACGCCGCGCAAAGTGTACCGATGTTGTGGTGGTTCTGTAGGTGATTCCGAAGGTTCAGTGAGGAACTTGGAGTAGTTCCGAAGCGTTTCGACAGCTTTCTGTTTCCTGTTCTCCAATTCTGCAATGTACATTGTCAGCTTAAGCAATGACAACAAAACTTGTAAGGACTTACGTTTCAGCTTGTCTTCGATTTTGCTTGAGAGATCTCTCAACTCTCCGGCCAATCTTTGCGCCTCGGCGTTTGCTGCTTCCGGTGTCAAAGTCAAGTCACCTACTCCATTGGCAAGACTTTTGGGCAAAGTGAAAGAAGCAGCAACGGCCGCTTTCTCGAGTATCTCCCTAGATCCAAGCCCTCTATGAAAGACCGATTTCGAGACAGAGAAGCGATTCATCAATGTTTCTAACTTGTTAATCTCTTCGTAAACTTGAAGCCGTCGCGCACGGAAATCACGCGCCAGGTCCTTGCAAGTGGCGAGGTACCGATCCGGGTAGAAGACCGCCGGTATCTTCACATCCACAGATTTCGCCGAGTCGGAGCTATCCAATTTGATCATCAAAACTTCAGCCACATGTTCGAGCCACACATCATCTAGCTCTTCACCTGGTCTGTCGGACCAGATGGTCCGATCTAGCACATCGTAGAGAGTTTGGCCATGATCGGCCTCCACGAAAGGGTCAAGGATAAAGAACTCTTTTTGGATTGGCGTGTCATACACCGAAAGGGGACGCTTGAATGCGTTTGACGAGAACACTGTTGCCAACTGGTTTCCCGGATCCGCTCTGATGGCGGCTTCCTGCCATTTCTCCAAGAATTGACTGATGCCGCTTTCAGAGTCATAAGATACCATGCTTTTCAGGCTCGAAAGAGCATCGACGCTACCGAATGCGCGGCTTGTCGCATCTAGAAAAGCAACAAGTCTTTGAGTTTCGTAAAGGATGTCGTCCCAGGCCGTGTCACCGTCTTGCGCATCTTGCATTGTAACTATCTTAGGCAAATTGATCGGCTGACCATTCCACCACTGCGGATCATGACCGTACTTCGGGAGGACCTTATTTCGTAGAAGAAGAGCCTCTCGCGCCAAAGGGATTGAATGCAGGATAGTCAAGAGCCCACCGAGGTACAGATTATCGTGGGATGGGCGAAGGAACGCTGGTTCGTCAGCTACTCTTCTGCGGTCCGCCGGGTCCGGGCTGATGATGACCTCCTGCGCACTGGAATTGAAAAGAGTCATTGCCCATGCGCCTTCGTCGTAGTGATCCCGCGTAGCTTTGCCGAAATTCGATTGATTTAAGCTGGTGATTCCCATCTCCTGATGCCCCAGGTTCTGGTTCAATGACATTGCCACTGCTTCCTGAAGTTCACGCTCCTCCTGTTCAGCAAGTGTCATACCTGTTACCTCCGCTACACCTGAAGATCGACCATGTCAGCGAAGCGGCGCAGCCATCCTTAGTGAAGCACCCTACCTGCAGCGCTGTGGGCAGGGCCCGTTTTATGCCCTTGGTACTGCGCGGCCTGTGCTTGTTCATTCAAATTCGACATCGACGGGGGGCGCGAAGGAGGGACGCCGGAGGATGTTCCGACAACAGGGTCTGACTGTTCAATCTGGAAGGCTGCGAGGCCGGACTGTCAGCAGAGCCGCTATGCTAATATCCGGTGGGCGTTGGTATGGACATACAGGGTATTCTCTCGTCATGTTGAAAACTACCTGGCTAGAGCGTAGCAAGTCCGCGATCAGTCTCAGTCCAATAAAACCTCAATCATCTCCAAGAGTCACCTCTAATTGGGGCGGAGTTGGATCTTCAAAGTATGCGTTGATAGCTTTATTCGAGTTAAGGTCGTTGGCCTGCAGAGTGTCTGATGTCAGCGTGCAAAAATATAGAAGGATGGGCCATGATATCTGCTCACCTTTAGAAATCGTATTGCATGCTCCCGCGACGTGCTTGTGAAGTTCACAAAGTTCGTGATAGCTTCCTCTGACGGTTCGGAGGCCATGCCGTAGCTCGCACACAGAAACTGCAGATGATTGCAGACGAAGAATTGGCGACGAGGGCAACCAGCGTCTAGTAAAAAGCAATGAGATCAGAAAAGAACGAGGGCTCAATCCAGGAGGCAGTAAGTGGAGAGTTGTCTGTTTGGATGTCTCCAGTCAAGCTTCCCCACCACATGACATCCGTCAGCCAAGCCCACGTCCCATTGCAATCTTGAAGCCGCCTGGGTCTACAAGAAATCACATTCACACAGCTAACTCTCTTTCGCATAAAGAAACAAGGAAAATTCCAGTCGAATGAAAGAAACGATCAAAGAATCGCCCAATTTCGGAAAAATCCATAAAACCTAGACTGGGAACGCGATGATAAGAATAGGAACAAAGGAGATTCTTTTTCACTGTCCTTATGGACGTGAAGGGTACTCAAAGAACCATGTGAATGATAGATGTTTCAAATGTCACAATTCCAAGGATCATATTCAATCTTCTATTTTAGCTGCAATATTATGCACCATAGGAGTTGACATTTAATCCCTTGTGGTTTCTCCCTCAACGCTCGCTCAACATCTTGGGCGTTGATACTGAATCCTACAGCTGGCAGTCAACAACATCAAATCTCGTCCTCTTTCTGCAATAATTCATCGGCTTCGATTTCAAGGCTTCAGGTAAGCAACAAGACACAATGGCAGAGAAGAGACGAGCGTCCGACGACTATGTGGAGGATCTGTCAGAACGACCTGAGCCCGGGACGTTCAAGAAAGTACGATTCCAGCTTCCTCGGAATGAAGAAGGTCTTCCTGAGAAAGACGTTCCAGCTAAAGACACAGATGACGAGCTGATGGCAAGAATGCGTGTAATACGTGTGAAGGAGCTGGTTCACGAGATTCTGGCTGCGATGTACTACGACATCCATCAACTCTGCTGGCTCCGCAAGTACCTCATGCAGAACCGTATCAGACGCTTTCCGGACCTACATTTCTACAAAACTCAACATCAAGAAGCAAGCTGGCTATTAGACAGAGCTATTCACCAGGAAATGCTTGCGAAGGTAGGCCAGACAAGCGGTCACGATTGGGCTTACACATCGACGCAGGAAGCACATCGTGTTGGCCAATTCATTCGACAATTTAATTGGAAGACATTGGCCATATGCGCACTCTCAGAAGCCTTCCGGTTGGCACTTTATACAGAAGATCAAGTGGTATGGGCAGTTTTGATGCTCAAGATCAGGGAAAACCGGACCAGCATTGACGTCTTTGCGCAGTCGCGAGGCTTGGACTGGCAAGGCCAGCTATTGAAACATGCGGACAAACAGATACCAGGGCTCCAACAAGCACTTATTCCGAGGCTCGATCTGGCTCAGGAGCACTTTCATCAAATAGTCATTGCAAATGGCTCTCTTGGAAGGCCTCTGTATGAAGAACACAACCAGATCAACATCAACCACGGGAATATATTCAATCCCAGCTACTTCAACGACAACAAAGACCCCAGGATTCGCGTTCCCGACCGCGACGGACCTTGCGATCTCTGTTATGCAGAGCGCGAATGCAATTGCAGGATATCTCGCCCGACTCTTGCAACGTGTTTGGTTGAACTTGTTAACTACCCTCATAAAGGAATTGGAGTACGGGCTCTGGCCAGATTCAAGAAGGGAGACATCCTCGACGAGTATGTCGGGGAGCTTCGGCCTGTAGATTACAAGGATGATCGTGTCTACGCTCTGCTGCACGAATCCAAGATGGTTGAAGGTCATCCACTGGCTTTGATATCGGCGAAACGGTACGGTAATTGGACTCGGTACCTTAACCATTCTTGCAAGCCGTCGACAAAGTTTCTCAAGATGACTGTTGGCAAGAAAATCATGGTTGCTGTCCAGGCAGTCAGGGATATTGACATTTTCGAGGAGATTACTGTTGATTATGGCAAAGGCTACTGGAAGAATAGGAAGTGTCTTTGCGGGGAACCTGGTTGTCGCTCGCAGGATGCCACTGAAGAGGAGACGGAGGTTTGAATTCTCATCAACTTTTCTCGTTAGTCCATTGATTCTGTACTTTATACGGCACTTGTCATGTTTGTGCGGTTGGGATTAATGTTCAAGCACCACTATTATTCGGATAAAATCGAGCTGCTACTCAGAGGTATTTTAATGATCAAGTTGCGGGTCTGGTGTTTATTTATTTGCCTTGGTTTCCGGAGTACTGCTTCGGCTAGCCTCGGACTCCACTGAGATCGCAATGCCTTCAGATAGTCTAAGTCTAGCGAACCGGGCTTAGTCCACTAGGCCGAAGCCTTTGTGCTGCCCCATAGTAAAACTAGTCTACTCGACACGGAGTACCTAGTAGTTCACTAGTTGTCAACAAGGGGTGAATGCTTTCCTCGGGAACAGTGACCTCTCGTCAACCCCGCATTTGCTGAGCCGGCACGTGCGGGGGAAGCATTAAGGGAGCTTCACCCACTATGAAACCAAACAGCCAGGAACACTGTCCTAATTCTTGCATGATTCAAATGAATCAGTACTGCTTATTAGTATCCTATTGAATTCTTGAGGAGGAGTCTTTCAATCGAAGTGAACAGAATAGAGAAGCATTGTATCTTGCTAGCCCTCAGGACAGGCCCGGAGGAAGGGGTTGTGTACAGCACAGCTGAGGGCGCGATTCACTGTGGCCTCGGATTCTATACTCGTCTCAGCTCGCGAGAGCTATGAACTATCGATAGCATGCGCATGTTTCCCGTGCGTCGCGCGGGGATTCTCCCTCGTCAAAACTGGGGGATTGGCTTCTCCTTGAGGGCTCTCCAAAAAGTGCCTTCAGCACGACGAGGGCTGCTCACTCAGAGCTACGCTTGTGGACCAAGGGAGGTGAGTGCGCATTATGGGGTTAATAGTGAGTATCTGAAGCAGGCTGACGTTATCTCGATATTAGCCACCTTTGATTGACTCTACTGTTGGAGACCACTTCGCCAGTATTGTTAGCCAATATGGCGATAGGGAAGCGTACGTGAACTTGATCTCGCAGATCGATCATGCTAGACTTGAGCAACATGACTGACTCTCGTGCATTTAAAGTGTCATATCAAAGCATCAGAATCACAGATTGACCTACGCCTCATTGGATGCCAAAAGTAATGCCCTTGCGCGGGGACTGGAATCTGTGGGTGTGCGGAAAGGGGAACGTGTCGGCGTCATGCTTGGAAATTCCTCAGAGTATGCCATTGTATGTCGTCTGTCTTCTAGGCACTTCCCATGAGCTGCGTTCGTTGCTGGAGATTAATAACACTTGAGTCTTGCAGGCAACCTATGCATTGTTCAAACTCGGAGCCATCCTGGTATGTTCCAACACCAACGGCCGATTCCGATGAACAGTTGTCCGCTGAACCACGCCTTTCAGGTACCGCTTAATCCCTCTTTTAATGCAACTCAGGTCATCTCAGCGTTAAGCCACCTTGGAGCCGCCCATTTGATCGTCAGTGCTGAGTCCAACTTACCGAGGAAAGAACCCCGGAGCAATATCCCACTACTCAAGCATCTTGTTCAAGATCTCTATACCGGAAAACTAGAGTCCGCAGTGGTGCCTTCACTGAAGAACGTTATCTTTATTGACAACTCTTCCGGCAGAGTTAATTGGTCTGACTACAGGAGCCTGACGCCTTTCATGTCGGTCATTTCCGATAATACCGCTGATGCGAATCCACTGCCCCCTCAGGACCTCTGGCCTCATGATATAGTGAACATCCAATTTACATCAGGCACCACCGCCATGCCCAAAGCGGCATGTCTGAGCCACCGCTCAATCTTGAACAATGGTGCTCAGATTGGTGATCGAATGCGGTTAACCGCAAAGGATATTGTATGCTGTCCTCCACCTTTATTTCACTGCTTTGGATGTATTCTAGGCTACATGGCAACCGCTACTCACGGCTCCGCTATTGTATTTCCCACGGAATCCTTCAACGCCCGTGCCGCTCTGAAAGCCGTGCAGGAGGAAAAATGTACAGCCCTATATGGTGTGCCTACCATGTTCCTTGAAGAGCTCGGCCTGCTTCAGGACGGCGAAGTGGAATACAAAGGGTTTGAGTTTCTCCGGACAGGCATCGCTGCTGGTAGCAGTATCCCGGAAGCACTTATGAAGAAGCTGCATGAGGTCCTTAACCTCACAGAATTAACCATCTGCTATGGCATGACAGAAACTAGCCCTGTCTCAGCTATGACAGCAACCGACGACCCATTAGATAAACGGATTAGTACCGTCGGTAGACTAATGCCTCATGTTGAAGCCAAGGTTGTCGACCCAGCGAATCGAAGCAAGATCCTCCCCATCAACACCCGGGGCGAGCTAGCTGTGTCTGGCTACTTACTGATGAAAGAGTACTGGGGCGATCCAGACAAGACCGCCGAAGTGATGATCGCAGATCAGGAAGGGAAGATCTGGATGCATGTGCGCCACCCCTCCCTAGGTGGTGCTCCTAGACTTTAGGCACCGTAAGGTAGCAGGATGACTGACTGAGGATCATAGACTGGCGATGAAGCGTCCATGTCACCAGATGGCTACATCACGATCACTGGCCGTATCAAAGATCTCATCATCCGAGGAGGCGAGAACATTCACCCTCTAGAGATTGAGAACTGTCTCCTTACCTGCCCCAGCGTGGCCAATGTGTCCGTTGTTGGTGTCCCAGACGAGAGATATGGCGAGGTGGTGGCTGCTTTCATCATTTGCAAGGAGCAGGATCGCAGGACAGTGACCGAGGACAAGATCAAAGAGTGGGTTCGCGAGCGACTGAGTAACCACCTCGGTAAGCATCTCTTGCCTTTCACCTAGTGGCAAGGCATCCTACGAAAATCTCGATATGCTAACCAGAAACATCCTGCTAATAGTTCCGAAATATGTGTTCTTCCTTTCACATTCTGATTCTTTCCCCAAGACTGCGAGCGGCAAAGTTCAGAAGTTCAAGCTGAAGGAGACTGCCATCAGGATTTTGAAAGAGCAAAGCAATGCTAATTAGACGCCGGAGAGGAACTGAGGTTGTTATACAACCTTTGGAGTGATAACAACCGTTTTCCAATAGAGGACTTACAGGAGCGTATTTCTCGGATTGAACATCCTCTTTGCCATTCCTAGGTCATCTTTACCATCGTAAGCGCTGTCCTGACTGGAACCGAATAATCTGGATATCATTACAGAAATATTGACATAATGCCTGAAATCCAACTATAGCAATTTCTCTGTACCGAGACAAAGCAAGTAGCCATTCTCAAAATCGCAACCATTATTTGCAGGCGAAGCAAAATCAATACCAAGACAATATTTAAAGCCGTGACACGTACAAAACACGAGAGGATTGCAGAACAGTCTGCAGAAAGATGCTCGAATAACACATGCAAGCATCGCGCTAGATATAGCGCTGGAAGAAGCCTTTCTTCGCTGGGGGCAGATGATTGTGAACCTTCGGATAAACTATGCCATCAACTTCCTCAAAGCAATTAGACGGCTTGCCTGGTTCGGGGCAACAACATTCAATCCTCTTGACCCAGCGATCGTTCATCACATCGCAGATGGTAGCTCGTCTCTCTGGGATAGGATGGAGCATCCGTAGGATAAGACGCCGAAGAGGTTTTGTGCGAAGATCCGAGAAGAACTTCCCGATTTTAGGATATACATCCCCTGTGATAATACCATCCGGCTCGCTTCTCAAGAACTCTTCCCACCATTCGAGATACCGAGAATACCCGCCATCCTTTTTTTCTGCGGCTGCCCATGGCGTACCGCAGTGAAGCATGGCAAGGCAGACGATGGCACAAGACCATATGTCAAGCAAGCGTGGGTCGTAGCTTCCTGGGGATCGAACGAAGGTTAGGAGACCATAACATAAAGTAGCAAAAGGATTGCAGGGGTACTTACGGTCTTCCTCCAGAACTTCTGGTGCAATATATGGCAGGCTGCCACAAACACCAGGGCCACATTTGCGAATTTTACCAAATACTTCCGCACATCCTCCGTCATTTGACCGCAAATCTCGGTGGAACTCTCTGAAGACTTTGGCGCATCCGAAGTCGGTGATCTTTAAGTGACTGTCTCCTGTCAAGAGCAAATTTTCTAGTTTGATATCGCGGTGTGCAATTCCAATGCTATGTAAATATGCGACGCCCTGGAAGAGTTGTTTGAACAGACACAGTTGACTTTCGAACGAAAGATATCGTTGTTGCACGATTGTAAACAAGTCCCCTTGACTGCAGTATTCCATAACATGAGACCAACGGCCTGCGTGGGAGCAAAGACGAACAGTCTCCACGATATTAGGATGATGCAAGCTCTTGGCGATGCTGAACTCGAGTTTGATCTTTCTGTCGTAAGCTTGTAGGCTCTCCTTGCGACTTCTGCGGAATTCCTTAACCGCATAATAGTGCTGCTTTGCGGGTCCTTTCCCGTACATCAATTTGACAGTAGCCGTGACACCTTTACCGATGACCTTGCCCCGCAAGCCAGGAATGATGCTGGTGTTGACAAATTCGTCATCAAGTTTGCAGCTATGAACTGTGAGAGCCTCGGGAAGAGTTGCATCTGCAAGCGCAGACTTGCCTTTCCCGTCCAAGGGAATCGAAAAGCCTGGTATCTCGAAGTGGTCAGAGATTGTGCCCCATGTGCGAGATTTCGCGAGACTCAGAGAACTGTCCGACAGAGAAGCGAGGCGACGACCTGTCTCCTTAACTACGCCCGAAGATGATGACTCGCACTGTTCGTTGATGCCTATGTGGAAAGATGAATTAGATATTTGCAGAACATAATCTCAAGTGGTCGCACAAATTCGCGGAATGAAGGTTTTACATACTATTGGCGTCGTTCTCAGTGGAGATGTCGAGGGCAGACTGCATAGCCGACTTGTGTACGCCATTAACTTTAGTGTCTAAACGACGAAATAGACCTCTGAGTGAGATAGACGCGAGGTTGAGCGGCGCTTGCTTGGGAGCCGGATTGCTAAATGACGAAGATGGTGAATGGGGCTGGGGACAGCTGA